CCCCAAAAAGAATACACACGGAGTGGACTTGAGCCCAGTCTGCAGCCTGGAACCAAGACAGCCTACATCAGCTAAACCTAAGTCAACCCACAGACATGCAAGCAAAAAAATACATGCCGAGTGCCACTGAGTTTGGGGATGGCTTGTTACACAGCATTATAGTGACTATCGCTGACCAATACACTAGGTTTGAAAAATATCCAGTTGGTAGGAGAATTATTTGGTAGGAGAATATGGCCCCAGGGGATAAGAGGTTGCGATTTGGAGAGACAAGGGAAACCTTGAAGAGGAAGATTAGGAAGCATAAGAAGCTTTTCCTCTGCATTTTCAGTAACAAGTTCACAATACACAGACGTTGCTGTTTATCTGCATTTGCACATTTCATCTTCACAAACTGCTCAAGCATCCTTAATTCATTCCTCCTCCTCTGCTTCTCATGTCCTGCTGGGCAGATCTTTGTCAGAGAATTTATTACTCTGCTCTGCCAGTAGGGCTCCAGTGCTGGACTGGGCCCTGGAGGCCCAGAGGTAAATAAGAAACCACTGCTCGGAGGGCCCCATTCTCGTGAGGGAGAACGATATGGGTACAGGTTACTATTATTCAGCTGTGATACAAGATTCTCAAAGTGTACTGGGGACATAATCTGAATGTCCAGTGATAGGGCTTGGTTAAATAAATTGTTTCTATGTGATGGGCTATTATACAGCTGTTCCAAAAGATGAGTGAGTTCTATGTATTGATATAAAAAGCAATCTATGATTTTATATAGGTGTATAAGTATATATGTGTATATACGTATGTGTGTGTATTTATCTATCTACCTATCTATCTTTCATCCTTCTAACTTTCTTCAGGGACTAATAAACCAAACCATTACCAGTGAATATCTAAGGGTGGGCTTATAAGAGACTTTCATTTCTCATTTACACATTTAAAAATTGTTATAATTTTTATAACAAGAGTGTATACAGTTAAAAATCAATGTTCATTTTTCATTAATTCAACAGTGCCAGGCATTGCTTTGGGCCCTGGGGATACAGTGAGTCACAAACAAGACAAAAATCCCTGCCCTCATGGAGCTGACATTCTTTTAGGGGAGACCACTGTTAATCAAAGAAGCACTGAGTACATTTCTTATGTGATGTAAAGACAACTAAACATTGAAGAGAGTAGAGAAGGACTTGGCAGGAGGAAGGGCTGCTCTAAGGATGTTCAAGGAAGGCTGCCCTGAAGATGTGACGTTTGAGTGATGAGAAGGGAGCAGCTGTGCAGAGAGCTGAGAGAACAGTGTTCCAGGAGCAGGAAACAGCAAGTGCCAAGGCACACACTAGTTTGGCTGACTCAAGGAACAGTAAAGATTTTGGAGACCTAAAGTATGGTGAGGGAGGGGAGATTACAGGAGATGAGATCCCGGATATACAGGGCCAGATCCCCCAGACCTTACAGGCCAAGATGAGGACACTGAATTTTACTCTGAATGAGATGAGAGCCAAGGTAGGGTTTTAAACAGGGAGCCACATGAGATGATTTATGCTTTAACAGGATCATTCTGGCTACCAGTGAAGCAGGGGTCAAAAATGGAAGGACATAACCAGTTAAGAGACTGTGGCAGGAATCCAGATGAAAAATGGTTGTGGCTTAGGCTAGTTTAAAATGAAAAGATATTTCCCACGTGAAGCACAAAGCTAGAATGATCAGGAGAACCAACAAAAATATGCCATGGTGAAAACACTGACGACAGACACGTATTTTGCCAGGGGAGAGGGTAGGGAGGAAAGGACAGAGGGTATTGGAGAAAATGGCAAAGACGGGGCCCATTTCAGAAGGGCCTCAATTACTCACTCACACACACACACACACACACACACACACACACACACACACACACACACACACACACACACAGAGAGAGGCTCGGAAGGCCTACCTTTTCAGCAGAAGAACAAGGCATTTAAGAGCCAGACAGCTCAGTTTTAAATCCCAGCATCCTAACTGTGTGACTTTGGGCAAGTCAATTAACTCTCTAGGCCTCAGTCTCCTCATCTGTTAAATGGGGATTAAATGAGCCACCAGGTATAAAGTTCTCAGAACAGCACCTGGCACATGGTAAGCACGGCATGAAAGCCAGTTTGTGTTAGTGTCACCTAACACTAATTATTATGATCGGATTTTGCAGAGCAGGAAGGAAGTCACAGGGGGAGTGGGTGCAGCCAGAATCTGAGAGAAGAGTGTTCCTTGGGCGAGAACACGTCTGGGCTCCAATATCGGCCCAGACTCCCTGTGTGACCCTGAACTAGTCCCCCTCTCTCTGCAGCCTGGGCTCCTCATCTGTGAAACAGACAGTGTGGAGAAGACTCGGCGAGCACACAGAGGGGTCCGGGGACACCAGGCTCCTGCAGGTGCCCCTGGGAGGACTGGGCCGGGAGGTTCGGGAACAGGCCACAGAGCTGCCTGACCAAACCCCGCCAACCCCAAAGGTGAGCCTAAGTGCTTGAGAGGCAGTGAGTCCATGAAAACTGGTCTGCAAAGCCAGCCCACTCAGGCTTCTTATAAACATTTTTATACACACAGCCAGAAGGTCTTCGGCGTGGCCACCAAGCCCTGAAAGTAAAATCACGAGGCCAGTAAAACACAAAGATACAACCCATCTGGGGCCTCGGTCCCCATACACGAGGCAGGAATAAGCCACCATACAGTCCACACTGTATGTGGACACACACACGCATGTACACACATCCACACGCTCATATGTGCACACATGTGTACATGCCTCCGTGCCCACACTCGCCCACGAGTGTGCATGCAGGCACACACACGAGACCCATGTGCACGCTCTCAGAGGAGCACCTGCCCATGCATGCATATCCTCGCCCTCAACCAGACATGCACACACATTTACATATGCACACACAGGCCCAGCTTCCTGGAAGCCAGATTTGGAGCAGAGGTGACCCAGGAACTCCAAGGCCTTGGGGATTATGGGATGATCATCGTAGAGGTTGCCTACAGGTATTGGCTTCTCAGATGCAGTACAACGGAGGGGTACGGAGCATGGGCTCTGCTCCTTATGAGATGTGAGACATGAGTGGCTTAATGTCTCTAAGGCTCAGTTTTCTCATCTGTCAAGTGGGGTGAGAATGTCAGCCCCTTCTTAGCAAGGTTGTGGGGAGGTTTCTCAGTTGATACATTTAAAGTGTTTGGCCCAGTGCCTGACACACTGTACCTACTCAGTAAATATCAGCCATTTATTAGCAGCTGTAGTATTTTCTGAAGAACTCAGTTTGGAAGCTGTGGCCCGAGTTGCTCAACTCGAAACTTCAGGGATGGCCACAAGTAGACACTAAACAGGGCATCGTCACTGGGAAGCAGAGGCAACAGAGGAGGTGGTCCCCACTGCAAAAAGCTTGCTCAGAGGGGGAAGCCCAGCCTCTTCCTGGACCCGAGAGCACTATGGGCTCCCTGTCACACGCCCCTCAGTCTCACCAGCTGCCACTTGGCTGGAGCTCTTCAAGGGGACAGCGTCTGTGAGACAGGAACATCACCAGCCTCAAAGACACGCAGCCCCCTTGCCTGTCCCGCCTCTCCCAACACCCTGGAGGGGTCAGAGACGGGGCACTTCAGGCCCTTGAACCTCCTGACACTGCAGGGAAACTGCAAACTCAGCCCCACCAGCAGGGGGCGTGGGTGACCGCACATCCTGGATGTAAGACTTTCCCCTGAGCCTGGGCCCACCAAGGCCCCCCATGTCGGGACAGTTTAGGACTGAACTCTTGTCTCAGTTTCCCCACCCCGACTCCCAGGACCAGAGCCCTCTCCTAATCTCCAGGCTGTCTGAAGAGACCTGCATACCTGTTCTCTCTTGGCAAGGGTTCTCCTTGGCGGTAGGGTAGGGAAGTAGGAAGGTGGCCACGCCCTGCGCTCCTGTGGCAGCGCATCCTCCAGTATCCATTCTCCTGTTCTTTCATAATGATAAAACCCCTGCCTTTCAGCTGAGCACATGGTTGCCAGGATAAAGACCTCATTTCCCAGCCTCCCTTGCAGCTGTGATCAAGTTCTGGCCAAGGGGATATAAGCCTGTGTCATGGGGCAACTTCTGGGAACCTTCCTGTTGACATGCAACCTTTGCCCTTTCTACTTTGCCTTTCCTCTACCCTGTTGCCTGGGGTGCAGATGTGACGGCTGTATCTCTAGCCATCCTGTTAGTCCATGAGGACAAAGGCCACAGGGATGATGGAGAGGCCCCCAGGGGCCGGGATCCTGAAGACCGCATGAAGCAGAGCCACCCTAGATTTGAAACTTTTAAAAGGAATAAATACATTTCTCCACTGAAGCCAGTTATTTGGGGCCGCCATTACTTGCAGCTAAACCTAATCCTGACAGCTCTGCCCCCT